ATAACAATTTAATTTCAATAAGATATTTATAAAAAAAAATCTTTTTTTCGAGCTTTCTGTTCCGCAAAAGTGTCTATACACTTCATCAAAGTTTAAAGATCGGGCCATAGAATTCTCAATAGACAGTATAATGAAGCTACATAACCTGTCTTGTCTCATAGAGTTACTTAAATAGGTTTTTATCAACTTTAGTTTTGAAAATGATCATTAGCACTACCTGTAGTTACAGGAATTGTAAAAAGTAACATTAATGCAGTGCATACTTCAGGAAAGCTGCAGGACATAAAATGATTATTTATTATTAATAAACCACCAAATGATTCATATATTTCTTTTTGATAAATCTCAACAGAACTTTTTTAGAGATTTTTTTAATAGATCAGTGTTATTTAAAACTTTTAAAGTGAAGGCTGCGAAATACTGAAATTTGAAACAATTTCATTCATTGGAAGGAAACGCGATTTCAGTTGGTTTATAATGATGTCCAATACTCGATAAAATACAAGTATGTTCACTTTGAACAAACTTTCCGGATCTTGAAAACGCTCATCTTCGCAAAGCTCTTCAAAATTTGAAAATTCATGTCGATACCTTTCCAATTCTTCTAGATACATTTTCAAACGTTTTAAGGCATGGCTTAAGACTGAAGTGCTTTAAAGACTGCATCGATAGTAAGCAGAATCTTGCAATGGAAAACCAATAACATAACAAAATTCTAGTTTTCGATCTTCTTGAGTGAAACAGCTTCATTTCTTTCATCTGATTTGCAATTTAACAGAACTTTTAAAGCAAATCGACATCTTAACGTCCTGCCCACCTAGTAGGGCCTAATGTTTTTAATGTTATTGAAGTTGAAGACTCACTTTCTTTATTATCGATCAACCTGCTGGAAAACAGCGAACGGACAAGGATGCTGCTCAGGACCCATCCTCTGGACCTCCCCAGGGACTAACCGGATACTACAACCTCATCATAAATGAAATAATTCATTGTCAAGTTTATTTAACAAATTTAATGATTGTCCACGATGGACAGTTTTAAATAAAAACACTCTGCTAATACAAAAAAAAAAAAAACTTTCTTTATTTGATATACAACTTGATCAAATATTCCATCTTTTCATACTATGCATAAAAAAAATATAAATTATATCTTGAGTTGTGTCGAATATGATAGAGCAGAATTGTGCTGCATTTATGTTATTTATTAGCGCATTTTCTACTTTTAGAACCAGGACAGAAATGAGCTCATTTTGTAATTTTGGACTTAAGTATTTTATCTGGAACTTTGGTTTACTTAACAATTCTTGTAAAATCGGGTCGTATTTTCCTAATAACTCAACAATTCTCAAAAAGTTTCCTTTGGAGCTTGGATCACTGCTATCTGCGTTTTCTCTGTGGCCACGAAAAACTAAATTGCTCTTCATCGAGTGTTCCATGAAGTCGCCACTGTTGATTCGTAAGTCAGGAATGAATCAGTACAATATAGTAATGATTTTCTAGAAAAGATCTATTGTCACTCTCTTTTAAGAAAGGGCCTTTTGGTTTACAATGTCCGTTTTTATGTTATGTGTTTTTATTTAGCTTAAAGCAGCTTAGGGAAAGCTTTGTGATTCACGTTTTAGCAAAATTACGATTTGAATTATATTACAACACATTGGCAGCGGTGGGATTCGAACCCACGCCTCCGAAGAGACTGGTGCCTTAAACCAGCGCCTTAGACCGCTCGGCCACGCTACCACCTTCCCCTCGTATAGCGTTGAATTTTTGACAAAATTATTTATATATATCTACATATGAATATCTATATCGTCGAATATAATTAGATTACAACTCAATTAAGCAAAAATCACGCCTACAGTCGTACACCACTTGCAAGTTGCAACACTCAAGTGCCCTTCATCAACGCGAAAAGCTTGAAGCAATTAGAAAACTGTGACTCTATAAAGCACTGCGGCCCTTATTCCAATTAGCAAAACGTTATTAAAATTTGAAACATTTTTTATGCATAGACTCGAGCAAAGTCTTGAGCACGAGCGGCATTGGCGAGTACTTGAACAAAAATGTAAAATGGGCTCTTCACAAACTGTTAAACGGAAGTGGGAAATGTCACCCTTAGCTTAAGGGCTTCAACGTGCAACAAAAGTTAATAACAAAACCACTTGAAGTGACAGCAATAGAAAAACAGCAGCGAGATGCCGATTCATTCATTTAATTGCTAGTCCGTCCAATAATAGCAGCGGAACACACACATATATGTGACGGGTTATGAAACAAACGAACCGTTTGTAGTTAAGACTACTATTTGCAATGTATTTCTAAAAAAATTGGGGTACCACTCAGAATTCGTTCTATCCGTGTTACCGAGCGATCATCGAAGTACAGAGCCCCAAGCAACAACACCGAAGTGTCGCCACCCAAACAAGGCATCTGCACATAACCTCACGCTGCCGAATAGAACGATTTCCCTCATCAACGCGGGATAGTGTGTTATCGTTTAGCACGATAGAAAGTGAAGACTGACTACAGAAATGATCCCGTGAAGTATAGTCTTAAATTTTTCACCGCCACCGAAGAATTACCCAAACAGAACGTGTACGAACCGGTTGGGAATTTTAAGAACGCACAAACAAAAAACGATGAGCGCACAATATTATTGTGGCGTATATGCGCGACGATAACACAAGTACATACGACATCCCAATATGGAAACCAACCTTGAAGTTCTGTATGCTTGCTTGAAAATATGTATTTGTTTTGGTTATATCAGTTACCAATTTCAATAATTTTTGACGTTTTTCGATGTTTGTACTGTATTGCCTGCCATGTTTTGAAATTTGTGTCGTGTTTGTAAAATATCTACACATATAATGAATCAAAAAATAACATAAAAATATGTTATTACATGTGGCAGCGGTGGGATTCGAACCCACGCCTCCGAGGAGACTGGTGCCTTAAACCAGCGCCTTAGACCGCTCGGCCACGCTACCATTTTACGGGGTGGCGCAAAATGGCATATACAAGCGCGAGCGCTCCATTTGTAAGGAACATGCGCAGATGTCATTTATGTATTTTAATTACAGTTCTTAACGAATTGTGTGCTGGCGCTATTGTTCAATTTAGAATGTCTTTTACTTATTTACCAATAATATACCTCCATCTTCGGGTTTTCTTAAAAGCTTGTCTTGGTTAAACTATTTGCAAAGTCATTCATTTGGTTGTCACTTTCTTTGTTTTCCCATTGCGCCTGCACTGAATTTCAATGTGCCGCCTATTCGCCTTCTACGAAACTCATTGTCTGCCAGTTTCCAGAACCCCTTTAATTGTTCGTTTTATGAGGAATGTACAATTTGCGCCTGTAATGCAGCTGGCTTTGTTCTATGCACACACATAATACATACAAATGTATGTATGTACATAGCCTCTTTGTTTGTGCCTTGGTATTTCAATTTGTTGTATTCTGTCAATTGTTTGAAATTTAATTTAGCTACTCGGACATGGGCAGTTTTCCGCAGCCCTTGCTATTTATTGCATATAATTAACCACATTAGCGTTTCACCTGCTGCTGTGAGCAGTGGTACGTGATTTTTTGCATTTTATTTATAAACGATGCGATGCCTTTGTCTGCCATAAAAATAAAACTTAACCACCATTTCATGTTTGCTTTATCAGCCTTAAATTTGTTCGTATTTACATAATACATACATTCATACATACATACATATGTATGTACAGAGGTATGTATGATTTTGTTTGTGTGTGTGTGTCAGTATAATTCCCTGGAATGTTGTAAATATTTTGCCTTTCGCTGCTGACGCTGCATTTGGCCTTTTTGTCGGCATTTTAATGAAACCGCAAATGTGATCCACCAAGCCCAACCCAGATAGTGCTCTCGTAGCAGTAGTAGTTGTTGTTTTGGCTTTGTTTTCATTCCTGTTTCGCGTAAGGATTTTTATTGCAATTTTCTAATTTCATTGCGGATGTCCCGTCGAGTGCCGTGGCTGTCGTCAGCTTTACTTTATAGCCGTAGAGAAACAACAGCAAGAAATTGTTGCTGCGGTCCCCACAACGCATGTACATACATACATAAGTATCTATGTTTTTTAAACCCTGCAGCTTATGTTGAGGGTGGATCTCTTATATGGCTGCGTAGCAGAATTTAAAAAGCATTTGAGAGCAGCCTTGGCAAAAGGCTTCCAATTGATCTGGTTGCATTGACATTTTTAAAATGAAGGCATTTATATGCACCATCGTGCGGCACAAATAATGGCCAGGTGTTGCACAGCTGTAAAGAAACCGACAGATACATTTGTATAAACGTACTTATAAGTTCACAGATAGAGGCGCTTGCTAAATGGACCGTTTCCCCAAGTAGGGCATTTGACCAGCGGCGGGAAATGGTAGCGTGGCCGAGCGGTCTAAGGCGCTGGTTTAAGGCACCAGTCTCCTCGGAGGCGTGGGTTCGAATCCCACCGCTGCCACGGTGTATGACAAAAGAGCACTTTTTTGGTTTTTATATAATAAAACAAAAACTTTGGCAAGCGCAAAGTAAACTTTTCTGATATTTAACAGCGCTGTAATTAGCAGTTAATTCGCCATTAATAAATAATAAAGTGTCGAAAGAACCACTAAGGAGGGTAAGCATTACATTAATTAAAACTTAGTATTAACTTATAGTGTGTGTAAATAACTTTAAAATATTTAAATTTATAGACAATACCTTATATAATTTTTTTTTTTTTTTTTGTATCCTTATTTAAGACCTGTCCTAAGTCCATTATTAAATTTTATGGTAACCTTTAAATTTGTTCAATCATGCATTCTGTTATGAATACCCTATATAAATACATACAAAGTTCTATTTCGGTTGACACATCGAAAAAAGATGACTAAAATATTTTCAAGGGGTAGCACTGTTTTTTTTTGTTTTTTTTTCTTATAATTCCCAACTGGTTCGTACACGTTCTTTTTGGGTAATTCTTCGGTGGCGGTGAAAAATTTAAGACTATACTTCACGGGATCATTTCTGTAGTCAGTCTTCACTTTCTATCGTGCTAAACGATAACACACTATCCCGCGTTGATGAGGGAAATCGTTCTATTCGGCAGCGTGAGGTTATGTGCAGATGCCTTGTTTGGGTGACGACACTTCGGTGTTGTTGCTTGGGGCTCTGTACTTCGATGATCGCTCGGTAACACGGATAGAACGAATTCTGAGTGGTACCCCATACTTACAAAATTCATTGAAAATAATACTTTTAATTGCACGAACGGTTCGTGTCAGGGCTGCTAATTTCGCTTTTTCTCCGTCAAATCTAGCTGTTTCGTAAGGGGGAAAAATTGAGAAATGCGGGAAGCGAGAGTTCTGGATTTTTTTTTCCAGTCACATAAAAACTATAAAAAACTGGCGGTTCATCATTATTTTTATCGGTCTTTGCCAATGCCCCCACTAGTTTAAGGCAAATTATCATCTCAATACCAATAGTGCCCCGCCAATAGTTAAATGGTAAATTATAAAATGACATAAGAATACAAATAATTCTGTTTTTACACGGTTTTGATTTACACGGTGTGAAAATTAATAATTGTAGAGATTGTAACACGACTTTATTCCATTTGGCAATTGAATAAATAAAAACCATTCTTATGTGTGGGTCGTTATGCACATTATACTTATGTGTTTTAATAACAAATGCGAACCTCGCAGAATTGAATGATTTAATGTAAATATCGCCTTACAACAAATGAATTGATAAAACCATAACCGCATTTTTTTTTAGGTTTTTTCTATAAATTTTCAGCTTTTTTCGCTCTTTCTTCCAGTTAGAAATAGCTTTTTATACCCTGTACCCGTAGGGTAAAAAGGGTATATTAGGTTTGTGCAAAGTATGTAACATACAGAAGGAAGCATCTCCGACCCCATAAAGTATATATATTCTTGATCAGCATGACGAGAGAAATCGATCTAGACATGTCCGTCCGTCTGTCCGTCCGTCTGTCCGTCTGGATGAACGCGAGGATCTCAGAAACTATAAAAGCTAGAATAACCAAAGTTGGCATCCAGATTCTCCTAGGTCCGAGTAAGGACGAGTTTATTTTTTTTTTTTTAATTTTCCCCCCCTTCCCCCGCTGCAGAATTTCGTCAATAGCGTCCACATTTCAAATGCTACCTAAACCAAACTTTGCACACATAATTTATATATAATTGTCTACTGTTGTTCACAATTTTATTCAATTCGGTCAATTTTAAGAAAAGTTATTAGTGAAACAAATTCTCTCTAGTACAACCCCCACAAACTGCAGCAACAAGTTCGCTCTTCTTCTTCCTCCTTTTGCTGCTGCTTTGGGCGCATATAACTCAGTGACGGAAGTTTACCTGGGTACAGGGTATTACACTGTCGGGCTTGCTCGACTGTAGCGTTCTCTCTTGTTTTGAATTAAAAAATGGCAGTACTGCGCTTATGTCTAGATCAGCGGTCGGTGGGCACAAAATTGCAAATCGAGAACCCTACTTGTACAACAAAAATCACCGGTAGAGTTCTGAGTAAATGCTACTGAAAATCGATCAACGATACACGAACTATGTGTATTTTGTTTTTGCATCAATCTGCTTGTGCGTCTGGCGACAATTGCATGCAAGGGCGTAGGCGGCTTTTAGCAAAGGGGGGCCCAAAAAATTAAAATTTTGAGTAAATAATGCACGATGCATTTAAAAAATAATGTATAATAATGTAGAATAAAAAATATGTATGAACGTGTGGTCGACTCTGTATGGAACAATTTTTTGTAGGGACGGGGTAGGAAAATATGGAATCCTTAGAAATCAATGTAAAGAATTATACATATGTATGTATATAGAATATATCTTGGTGGCACTTTACAATTGCTGTAAGCCCTAAATACCTAAATATACAAAGTGGATTTGGAATTGGTGTTTTAGCTTTTGTTCAATTGTGTTTCTAGCAGGATGAAGGGAACTTACTCGCCCTTTATATTTTGTTTATGCATAAAGTGCATTAAAAACTTTTCAATTGAAAAATGCTCTTTTGTGCAAACTACGTTAAAGAAACTTTACTTTTTAAGGTAGCACAAACTACTTGTCCCCTGCTCAATACACCACGAACAATTTATTATTGGCAATATTTTATAAGCACGCCGCGTCCGTCCGTCCGTCCGTCCGTCCGTTTGCTGATGTAACTTGTAAAAAATTGGTATGTCGCAAGTTTCTCCTCGAGTTAAAAAAATAAGTTTCGTGGCACATAAGTTTTGTGCACGTTAAGTACTTTTTCATAACCATTGCATAGGTCGGATGGGGGCGTTCACATTCTGTTGCCCATGGGTCTCATATCCGTGCATATGCAAAGAAGAGCAACTATGAGCAACTAACTAATAATAGCGACTGGCAATAAACGAGCTGGGAAGAAAACTTTAAATGGTTCTTACTTTTTATACCCTGTACCCGTAGGGTAAAAAGGGTATATTAGGTTTGTGCAAAGTATGTAACATACAGAAGGAAGCATCTCCGACCCCATAAAGTATATATATTCTGAATCAGCATGACGAGAGAAATCGATCTAGACATGTCCGTCCGTCTGTCCGTCCGTCTGTCCGTCTGGATGAACGCGAGGATCTCAGAAACTATAAAAGCTAGAATAACCAAAGTTGGCATCCAGATTCTCCTAGGTCCGAGTAAGGACGAGTTTATTTTTTTTTTTTTAATTTTCCCCCCCTTCCCCCGCTACAGAATTTCGTCAATAGCGTCCACAATTCAAATGCTACCTAAACCAAACTTTGCACACATAATTAATATATAATTGTCTACAGTTGTTTAAAATTTTATCCAATTCGGTTAATTCTGAGAAAAGTTATTAGCGAAACAAATTCTCTACAGTACAACCCCCACAAACTGCAGCAACAAGTTCGCTCTTCTTCTTCCTCTTTTTGCTGCTGCTATGGGCGCATATAACTCAGTGACGGAAGTTTACCTGGGTACAGGGTATTACACTGTCGGGCTTGCTCGACTGTAGCGTTCTCTCTTGTTTTTCATAGTTTCTTTCGAAATGTTTCAAAATGAAATGAATGTGCAACTACGTGTGCAGTGTTGTACATTCTGACATTTTAAAACTACCTTCTTCACTAAGAAAATTGTAATATTTCTCAAAGATCTTTATCTAACATTACTGAGTGATGCCTTAGTTCTGACAGTCTTATTGTGGCATGTCGCAAAAATATTATTTGTAACTGTTTTGATAGACATCTTAAAAATAGCATGGTGACGTTGCTTTGTGTTGTTCAAATACTATTCATTTAATTAAAAAAAAATAGATTTGGAAAAATTATATAAAATCTTTGATAGCGTTACGCAAACCACTCAATATTTGTGTGTCGGATTAAAGACATGTAAAAATATGTTTTTCTATTTCCAAAGACCATAAAAACATTGAATGTCTTAAGGACAATAAAAAACAAAAGAGAACGTAACAGTAAACCCAAAAAGAGGAGAGCGAACTCAATGGTACAGTTTTTTGGGCGTAGAATTGTTTCCCTAATTACTATTTCAGGGTTGACCGATTTCGCGATTAAATTAATTAGAGATTTAGAGATTCTTATACGTATAATTGACGTACTTGTATGTATGTATGCACAGTTGATTTTATTTAAATTTGATGACTACTTTGACAATTTATAATCATGCTTCTGTCTAACTCTGCGCCTAATACAAGGAACGAACACACATTGTGGGATTAATGTATGCTCGTTGGTCCCCATTGATTATACTGATGAAGAATAATAAAATGAATTGAAAAAAGGTATTTAGTATTAAATTTAATATTTAGAGTCGCAAAAAATGTACAATATTTGTTAACTGTAATCCATAATGGAATTTCTGAAAATGTTCAACTGTACAATGTAGGTCTATTCCAATATACAACCATACGCTATACGCTAGAGACAACAACGTGCATCCACTCAAATGTGATTGTTTAGTGCTTCCAAAAGTTATTCTTCGGCTCTTGCAGGGCCCGCTCCCTAACGTCTTCGATGCTGATTGGCTTGCGGGGCACGTAGCGTCATTTTTGACATTTAATTATGGCAGCTGCTACATTGCAAGCCGTAAGCTCGATTTTATGCGCTGACTGAAGGCACTGCCGTTTTTTCTTTGTCCTTGTTGTTGTTTTAGAAGAAAAACTTGACGTACTTACTATATCCACTGGCGAGCAGTGCGTGCTACGTGTGCATCTTGTGTCTTTGTCCTACCTGGGCTCACCTTTACTTCAAGCTGTCCATGCGCGCTCCATATGTATGCACATGAGTCCGCAAGGACGTGCGTTGTCAAAGCTGGTGGTGGCCAGGACGCGGCTTCATTCTTTTGCCATAAAAACTGTTGGACGGTCACTCATGTACTTTCTACGTCACTGCAGCTGGACAACTTTGTGTTGGCTGGCAATTTATTAAAATCGCGGACGTGACATGAAAAGCCAAAGGGTTGGGGTCTGACTATTTTTGGACTTAGGCGGGGATGAGGGGCTGAAGTACGGCGACGTCGCCGGACAATGGCGTCTAAATTAATTATCAAGGATAAGCGCGGCGGGTTCCGGATCGCCGACCACTGCTGCATTGTCTTGGCGCAGTTGTCGCAACTCTAATTCAATTATGTGTCCTGAACGTAGGTAGCGACTGGCGACTGGAAATTAAAAACGGCTTAGGCCCAGTTAATGCACAGCAGCCCGGCTTTAGCGGTAATTAAGGCAAGTGAATGATATGCCTTGCTGAAATCGGGCTGGCATACTCGTGGAACCTATTCTGCGCAAGTTTAAAGTTGAACTGAAATATTTATGTATTTTTGAAAATATTGTTTAACATTGCTGCAACCCCTGCCGCTGTGTGAAAATTCTTGAACAATAAGAGCAACCAATAAAACTGACGCTAAAATCACGAACTGCAAATCTCCGAGGAATAATTTGAAACGTAGAAAAGGCCAAACACAGCACAAAATCCCCCATATTAAAATATGATGAGACCGAGCCGATGCTGGAGTGCAAGAAAATGAAAATGCGGCGCGCTCCTGGCCAGAAACGAAGTTAATAAAAATGTAGTAAAGCGCACTGAATGGGGTTGGGAGATGGTGATGGAGACGGCGACGGCGACGGCGAGAAGATAGTCAGGAGCGGCGGTCCAAAAATAATCAACATAAAAAGAAAATTATTTGCTATATTATTAAAAGGAAGGAGCAGAAAAGGTGGTAACAAGCATACAGTGGGAACGATTCTGAGGAATAGTGAAGACAAATGATTAAACCCATTCAGTGCTGGGCCGTATTTAAAAGTACTTAGGACAATAAACAGGCTTTTTAAATTAAATATAGTGAACTATGATAAATGATTAAAAGGAAGGAGCACAAAAGGTGGTAACAAGCATATGTACAGTGGGAACGGTTCTGATGAATAGTGAAGACAATTAACTAAGCCCGTATTTAAAAATATTTACTTACCATAGTAAACAATGTGCGAGTACTAAACTTTTTTAACCGACTTCAAAAAAAGCGGAGGCTATCAATTCGTTTGCATGTTTTTAATTTTGTTAATTAATTAATGATAAATGCAAAATTTTCGTTTAACTTTTCAGAGAGCCATACTTAAAGATTCATTGGGACGATAATATGTTATAAAGAATTAGTTTGTAAAACGCATGAAAAAGTATTAAGTTTGAATATAATGGAACGGGTTCGGTTTTATGTTAAATTTGTTGCTATTTTCCATTTATGGAAAAGAACCAAATGACTTCTAAAATTAAAAAATATACAAATTGCCCAATGAGTGGGCCTGTTAAAAATTCTTAAACAACATTAATTTGATTTAAATAGTAATGATTTGGTTACAATATTGCCTTTTTAATAGGATTGGAAGTATGAACATATAGCTTATGTGTTTATTTTAAAACAATTGGTCTGCCAAGAAAATTGTAAGGAATATTGAAAATGTGGCCGAAACTCTTCAAAGCTATCCACTGTTCGACTGGATATTGTTCCACACAGCAATTGCAGGAAAGTTACATCAGATTTGAGTTGAGTTGTAATTGAAGTTTTGTCAGTCATAAAAAACGCCGAAGTCAGCGAATAATTCGTGCATTCGAGTTTTAATCAAGCGCCAACAAATATTGTCGGCCAACACACAACACTACAAGAGCATATGCTTAAAATTTTCCAGCATGGCCGACAACACGTGAAGGTTGCCGCGAGACACCAGTTTTGTGGGGCCACGCGTGTTTCCACAAGCGAACAAGCGAACAAGCGAATCAATTAAAGGGCGACAAACAAAGCGCATTTTATGAGCTCTAAGGCCATTAATTAGTCACTTAAACAATGCTTCGCTGGTGCATAAAACATGAAATGTTCGCATAATTTTATGAGATTTGAACGCCGTGCATTGGCAGTCGATAAAACAAAACCGGTTAATGGCCGAGTTACTTGCAGATGTTCGTTGCTGTGTAGTTTGCGTTGGCACAGCGGCATAAATCGATCATTGTGTACCACAAAGAGCCACAACAACAACAACAACAAGAGCCGCAGCAAGAGCAATAGAAGCAATGGCAGCATCAACGATCAAGTTCAAAGTCATTTGTTGCTTCCGTGGCTTGCGGCAACTCACGCATCCACAGCCTCCACATGGCCAACATGGCAGACATCTGACAGCTGATTTTTTAATCGAACGCAACGAGCTATAAAACGGGCTCCGATGCCCAAATCTGCACCACATACCGTTTTGTGATCGTAGCAAGAGCAACAAAAACAAGAAGTAAATCCAAAATGGTAAGATTATCGGTCAAGTTCGCTTCACCCACACTTTTGAATACAAGTACATATATTAATAATATTTTATAGAAATTCCTCATTGTTGCCATTGCTTTCTTGGCCTGCGCCTATGCCGATGTCTCGGAGTTGGCTGCTGCCTCCTCCGGATACGATTATCCCGCACCCGCTCCTGTGGAGAGCTACATTCCTCCTGCACTGCCAGCACCAGCGCCGGAGGAGCAATACATTCCCCCCGCACCACCCGCACCAGCATACATTCCCCCTGCACCACAAGTCGCTGAGCCCGAGCCGGTCATCGAGGAGATCGAGCAGCCAGCTCAGGACGGCTATCGTTACAAGACTGTGCGTCGTCGTGTCTTCCGCCACCGCGCCTAATTTAGGATACTAACAAGCTAATGGATGTCCTGATATTCCTCTGTTACTGTTGAAATTCAAAAACCAAATACAATGCACCACATTGTTTAAAGACAATTTTGAACAGCTCTCCATTTATTATTCTGATCACCTTCGCGAATGGATTGGCTTGATATGCTTTGATATTTGACAAGTACCAAAATTATTACCACGTTTCATGTTTCTCTAAATAATCAGAAATATGAAAATAATGTCAAAAAAAGCAAGAACAACAATTTTCCTTTAAAAACATTAAATTATCAAATAAAGTCCAGATTTCACTTGTCGTGACTTTTTCAAAAGTTACATTTGTACTAGAGTAATGTGATTTGTAATTTGTCAAGCTGATATGACTCTAAAATCCCAACTGGAGAAGATCCGAATCCTGCAAGCTAAAACCCTTCTCCTGCTAACTGGTATATGAAAACGGCAAACATAGACAAGGACCTAGAAGTGCAGAAAGTTGGCGAAAAAGAAGAGCTACAGAGAGAAGAAGGCTAAAGAGCTCAGGTACTTTTGACCTTGTCAATAGTTAAATAAGACTAAGCTCCTAGTTCAAGTCGTAATTGTATTTTAATTTAAAATATTCGTCATTTCTTCGGAACAACTCAATAGCTCTACCATTCTGTGTGTGGTTATGAATATTCTTTTTTTGCGTCGATTTCCTATATTTGCTTACATAACTCATAATTTAAAGAATTCATTTAACTTACTGTCCTTCCCGCTTCTCTCCAGCCAGCTACTATATTCTTTTTTTCTTCGGGTACAGGACACTCGCATTCCTTTCACTCGAATGCTGTGGACTGCATTAGTTATAAATAAAAATATGCAATGCATTCACAGTGTTGTCGTTTATAAAACGCTTAGCATTCGCAACATATTTCGCATGCTGCAAATCGTGCACAGAAATTTATAGACTTTATCCATTAGGAAAACAATTACGCGTGCAAACAATGGGCAGCAGTGGAGACTCCTATGGCGAGGACAAATGTCTGAGTATCCAAGTGTTGGAGCATATGTTGCGAAGCAGGAGCGCCTGTCGCCAAGTCACCATAAGTCGCATAGTTCATTGTCCTTAAATAACGGTAGTGCTGGCCGAGCACAGCGACTGGTGGCAGGCGAAGAAAAAATATTTTCTTATTATTTTGCCACAGAATATGCGCGTTGGCTGCTGCCACACAAATCCAATTACCTTCAAAATAATAAACTTATGTATGTACAAACATGCTAGTGCCAAGAGGCAAGGGCTCTGCCAATGTATTGTGGGGGAGTGGCGGGTGGCGGGTGGCGAGTGGCGAGTGGAGAATGGGGGATGTGCGGCATGTGGGGGTGGGGGTGGGGCTGGAGAACCGGAGTCGGCAGGGCAGCTCCCGGGACAACACCCGAACACGCACATTTTCTTTATCAACTGTTGATAGACTCCATGGGGAGTTTTCGTGTGTCACGATGCTGGCGACTGGGGCAGGGGCCAGAGTCTGGACGACGTCATTCGCATGGACTGAGGAGCCGTTGTCTCCGCGTGCATTGCAATACTAGAGACAACCACCATCGCTGTTGTTGTTGTTGTTGTTGTTGCTCTTGTCGTCATCGTCATCGTCATCATCTTTTCCCAACCGCCGGACGCACTTTTGTTTGCTTTCTTCTTTGGCTGCTGATTTCCACAGCTTGTTTGCTGCTCATTATACGCTGGCGCAAAATAATTTTGCCACTTGCATGTCATCAGCATAAAGTAAGTGCAAAATATGTGGCATAGAGGTCCACGTCTGAGTCGGCATCAGCATCAGCATCGGCGTCTGCGTCTGCGTCAAGGATGGCGCCTGCAGAGGCGGCAAAAGGAAATTCGTTTTAGAGCAAAGTCAACAGCAATTGGCTAAATGACTTGTAAGGGTTTGCCCGACAGTCATTTTGGCTTATGGACAACAAACTCCATGGCATACAGGACATGGTCCTTCTTCCACTGCCAGCTATGCATGTAGCTAGCTTGCCAGCCGGGCAACAGTTTATTGAATTCGCATATTTTCCTATTTCGGGTTATGCCAAACAAATACGAATTTTTTCTCTCCCATGTTTTACAGAATTTTCCACAACGGAGCGCTTTGGTCGTGGTTGTGTGCTTTTCGATTTTTGTAATAGCACAACTGTTTGCTTTTTAGCAAGCTTTCGTCCGACTTTTTTTTAAAATATTTTTCTATATGCAAGCACATCCTTTGTTTTGCATGTACACTCATTGAATGTTTAAGCAAATTGGCTTGTCGTTGCGACCTTTTTACTGCAACCGTTTGGGCCTGTGACATGTGTTTGGCCTTGAGCGGTCGGCTTTTGGCATTAAAGAGTGTAGAAGAAGGAAGTTATTGGCAAGATGGCACGTGATTGGCAGCCGAAAACAGCTTGAGAAGGCTTTAAAGCTATCTGCAAAAATATAGTAGATGAAATGAATAAAGAAGTGTATGCTGCAGTTAGTTAAACACTTTTGAGCAAGTAAATAATTTAACATTTGTTTGGGAGTTTTAAGAACAATGAAATCAATGTCTAAAATACTATACAAAATCGTTTTAAAATGTAGTTTCTTATAAATCAGTCTGAGCAATTTCAACTTGGAAGTATAAATACTTGTAGGTCGAATTTTAAAGGAATGTATCTAGTTAATATCACACCCGACTTCTGGAGTTAAAAGCGCTTCTGTTCGCAGATTGCTTGCGCCCTTCTCTAAGTTATAGGCATAGCTTACACCAAGGGCGTAGGCAGGGGCGTCCCCCCCTCCCCCTCTACAAAAAAATTTTGCCATATAAAGTCGACCACACGTTTATTATTATACTATTTCGGCTTTAAATGGATCTGAGTAGGATTTGTTGAAGTTTTTTCATTGATCATATGCATAAATTATATGTTAAATGTATCGTGCATTATTTAAGAACATTTTAAATTTTTTGGCCCCCCTTTTGGTAAAAGCTGCCTACGCCCTTGGCTTACACATTCTCGATGGCTGAGAATAATATCATAAGGGCTAAAGGTGTTCGTGCTTGAAAAACTGGCTAGCACAGAGTACTAAGCTCGTTAATTGCATTAAAGTAGAATCAAACTTAACGGAAGCGGAAACTAAGATGAATTTTTAGCACATAAGTGGATGCTAAGGTTGGTTTTTTATGGGCCAATAATAAGCTCTACTCTAGACTCTGTGAAACACCAATCATTTTGGTTTTGGTTTCTTCTCAAGCCCAAAATGTGAGTAATAGACAACACGAATTTTGTTGATATGTAACTTAAGATTTTAATAAGAATTTCATGGTTTTGAAACTTTAACAATGCGGTTTGGGGTCAGTATCACATTAATTAACAACGGTCTAAGCACGGTGGCGGAACACGCGACGACGTACGGTCTTGTAGCGATAGCCATCCTGAGCGGGCTGTTCGATGTCCTGGTGCACGGGCTCGGCTGCTGGTGGAAGGTATGCGGGTGCTGGTGCTGCTGGGGGAATGTAGGTTTCTACGGGTGCGGGGGGTGCTGGCGGCGCTGGAGGAATGTAGGTGTTCTTGGGAGCTGGTGGTGGTGGTGGTGGTGGAGGAGGGGGAATGTATTTTGGTGCTGGTGGCGCCGGTGGTGCAGGAGGAATGTAGGTGTTCTTTGGCGCCGGTGGTGGTGGTGGCGGTGGTGGTGGAGGAATATACTTGGGGGCCGGCGCTGCTGGTTGAGGATAATCGTAGCCGCCACCGGCACCACTCAGCTCAGAGACGTCGGCGTAGGCACAGGCCAGGAAGGCAACGGCAACAATCAGGAGTTTCTGCAAATAATACAAAGATATATTTTATTTCTGGTCCTTTAATATTGTCGCCTGACCTACCATTGCGGCTTGTTAATGCTCAGATCACAAGTCGTTGTGTGTTGCTGAACTCTGCACTTGCACATGTTTTTATAGCACCGGCCCAGACACTTCGGGTCAAAGTGAATTAATGGCGATGCTGATGACGATGACTGCAGCAGCACGCACAATGGGTCGCCGCCGGCACCGCCATCGCCATCCCCACCACCACCACCAGCACCAGCACAACCACCATCGCCGCCAACGGTTGCCATGGACAACAGCAGCAACAACAGCAACAGCAAGAGCAGCGGCGGTCGGAAGACAGTGTCGAGTGGTCCGACGGGTTTTTTTTTTGTTCATAGCCACATTGAAGATCTATGCTAGTTGGCTAAGACAATGCATTGTTTTGGTTGCTGTTGTGTAGTTATTGTTGTGATGCTTTGTGCCTCATGTATATAGTAGTATGTTTGTTGTGGCTCTTGAGCGCTTTTGAAACCGAAAGCTTCTTCTTTAATTAGATCACAAAACGTTGATGATTTACATATGAATTAGTGTGTTCATTTTTCTCTCCGACGTTTTTTATGTCTGTTCGCCCCCAGCTCTTGAGGTTGATTGATGTTCGTGGGTCACTCGCACAATCAACATTTTGCTTTAGCTTATTTAGTTGTATTTGCATTTGCATTTGTTTTTGGTTTTGATTCTCTTTTTTGTAGTTTCGTATTATTTATTTACCTAATACCCATTTATCTTTCAATCTTCATACTATACTATATGTACATATACTCGTATATATGAATTTTGCTATTTTTAGGTCTTCTTCGTTTGAATGTTATTGTTCATTATTTAATTTGCGTTTGCCCTGCCAAGTTCCCAATGCTGATTTATGTCGGCTTGCCAAATTATACGTTTCCAGCCTACAGCTTTGTTTCAAGTTTATGGCCAAATTAATTCTATCTTGGTAGGCTTTAGTGGCTGGCCAGTTAATTGTCGAAAAACAGCTTTTGCATGTTCTAAGTTTTGTTTTTGTTAAGATGCCAAGTGTTGTTATTTTAAGCAGATATTGGTAAGCCTTTAATAGTTCTAATCATGTGAATATTAAATGAATTTATGCAGGATTAATTTAGCTATGATGGGCAACAAATAATTCAATTTATTTACTGCGCGCTCTTTCGCAATTTTGCTTCAAATAAGCTTAGAAGTTGTTTCAAAATGAGAGCTCTGATTCCACATAGATTCAATTTAATTATACAATTCAAATTTATATAAATGCACATGAAGGTGTTTGAATATTCACACACACGCTACAAATGTATAAAATATTAAAATAGCTGGCTTATATTTAATTTAAGTTGTTTCAAAATGAATCCATAGACTTGATTTATTGCTATACAATTAAAATTTACATTAAATAATAATAGTATGTATAAATACACAAGAAGCTTTTTGAATATTTGCAACAAAATAATGAATAATAATTTGGATATATATTTATAAATTTACATTTAAATTAAATTACAAAAGCTGCATAGAAAGGCAATATCAAATATGAATTAATTTGCTCGTTAAAAAATGCTAAAAAGCGAAACTTGATTGTGCAGCATCGAAAAATCATAAAACAATGTGATATCTGAATGACGTCTTCATTAAGTGGACATAGCCCTAGCTATATCTACCTCTCACAAATTCAAAAGCGGTCTTCGACTCAAAAACTTTGGCAACATTTAAAAAAGGCCTTAATATATTTCAGGAAAGCAAAGATGGATTTAAATTTACAGGGATCTGATGCTGTATTTAAATGGTTCTCTGTAGCTCGCAATAAAAGAGTGCTTAGAAGAATAATAACAAATTTTCATAAAGTTTCGTTTCAAAAATATTTTGCTTTATTCGGGAACTTCTTGTGGTCGCCAATAGGCCAAAGTTTGGCGGAGTTTGGGGGAGCTTAGTAACGGCGACGGATCACACGACGACGGATGGTTTTGTAACGGTAGCCGTCGGCGGACACGGGCTCGATTTCCTCGAGGACGGGCTGAGGGGCAAGTGGGACTGGGGCTGGAGCTGGAGCCTGTGGTGCGGGAGGAATGTACTGGTTCACTGGGAGGGGCACTGGAGCTGGAGCTGGAGCAGGGGCAGGTGCAGGGGCAACATGTACTGGGGGTGCTGGAGGTGCTGGGGGAATGTACTGGTTGACGGGAGCTGGTGCGGGAGCAACCTTGACTGGAAGAGGAGCAGCAACTGGAGCAGGCAATTCAATTGGCACAGGAGCTGGGGCTGGGGCTGCAGGGGGAATGTACTGGTTGTTTGGCAGAGGAGCTGGAGCTGGGGCTAGAGGAGCCACAATCTTAATTGGTGCTGGAGCCGGAGCTGGTGCGGGCTGGGCGTAGTTGTAGCCCGACAGATGGGAGACATCAGCGTAGGCGGAAGCCAGTACGGCGAAGGCGACAACAAGAAGTTTCTGCAATTATTGAATTGGTTAATAAAGTGTGAATCCCCAGCTTCTGCGGAAGCTGCTCCACTAACCATTTTGGTTTGGGTGCTGCACGAACTGTGTAAGTTGGTGGAATGTCAACCTTAGACCAGCCCGGGCGTATTTATATGAAAATGTCGGCGCGGGAACCTCAAAAGACAATCGACAACGAAAAGTGCGGAAATTATAGGCTCTTAATGTGACGGACACAAAAACCAGAATTCTATTGTCAACAGTTGGTCAGCCCGCTCGTGGTTTTCAAAAGTGTAGGGTGCGAGGGCTTAGGTGGCTGTAGTTGATGCCCTAAGGCTTGAGTGTTGAAAAAACACTTTATTTACTTTATTCAACAATTTATAAGCAGTCAGACTAGTGGAAAAAATAAAAATAATACAAATTTATTTCTTGTATATCTATCGAGTTTGTATCGAAGAATTTTTAAGTCCATAGTCGTGTTATAAGCTAAATATTGAAACTTTTCTATCTATATCCATCAATGCCTAATGGAGACCTGACAAATATTGTTATCGTATTAGTCTACCTTTTTTTTTAAATATGCAATAATATATGTAAAAAAAACTCCCTCTCGTTGCATCAAGTACTGAAAAAGACATTTAATAATACGCAGAATATGATATCTTCAGTCTCGATGAAGTTGAAGGCGTAGCGCCTTCGGAAGTTGGACTGATTCCACAAATTTTGAGTGGTACTTGCTTATATTGCCATTGTTTTAATTTGAATATCATTTACATAAAAACATTCAGATCTTAGTGTATCAAACTCAACTACCAATGGCTTAAAAAAACAAAGACGCCACGATGATGTCGGCGATGCCGCTGCCGGTGCCTCTGCCGAAGCCAAGTCGGCGTCGATACAGTGGGCGCATGTATGGTCATTAGTTAGGCCGATTAGTTAGATTAGTGATAGAGATAGGCAGGCAGTGTCTGGTCTACTACGTATGGTTATTGTTGTTATCATTTTTTATGGCTCGACAGAGACTACAGCTGCTTGGCGACTCGACTGGGTAGGGTCAAAAGTTGAACATGACGCCAGAGCGGCCGACGCCAGTTTGCGCGATTGCCGGAAAACAAATTAGCGCGAGTGCGTTGGCGTGTACGCGTACTGCTGATATATAGCACATAACTTTGTTTCCTGCCAGCAACCAGCAGCCATTATCCATTAGCCCTCACACACACATACATATATGTAAATGCAGAAAAAAAGAGACTTTTTGAAGGACACTTGACTGCAGCTTTAATTACACAAATTGCTAATGAATGACTTTGCTGCCAAAACTGTTGAGACATTCAGGCGTCGTTGGACTACTGTTGCTATATTGCTATTGTCTCCTTTGTGTTTGTTGTAATTCGCTTAACACTTTTTGCATTTCAGACCAAAAAAAAAAAAAAAAGGGAACAAACGTATGAATGCAAACAAGCACTTAACCCCTTTTATCTGACAATCCCATTATTTTCGAAGCCAATAAAGTGAAACTGCAAATGTTTTTCACATATCGCGACTGTTACCATTGTTGTGGATACCCGTTTGTTGTGGTCATGTTATGCAACGTTGCGTATACGTAATTTAGCATTGCCCTGTTTCCTCCGCACTGAGAACATGTGCAGCGAAACGTGTTAAATTTGACGACTAAATAAAGAAATAATGTTATCCAAACAAAATTGCCAAACAATTGCTTTCCAATATAATTCGTTGTTCTCTTGTAATTGTGATGTTGGATTTGGAGCACGGTATTTATTATTTATAAAAAAAGAGTGGAAAGTTAAATTCATTTGCAGTGTAAATGGAACTCAACTCATAGTATACGTTCTATTTATTTTATGGGGAAAAATTGTGACGAAGACGACAACTAACACCTAAGAATGGGAATGTAGAGCAGGGCTTTTTATGCATTACAAATATTCAAGAAAATCTTTTCGGCTGCATCTGTGCTGTGTGCATTTAATATTTATAATGTTTTTAGTAAATTAAAATCCAAAGTTTTATGTTTTTGGAATCATGACATTCTCAAACTGCATATACCCAGAAACATTTTAGAGTACACAGCTTCGCATAGTAGTATAGTTGATATAGTTTTTTATTTGAAAGTTATAATTACTTTAGTTTTTAAAAAAAACGTCAAAGAACTACCAGATATTTATATTATATTTATATATTTCTTGTCGCACTAGGAACTAATAATAAATAAATAAATAATATATAAGAAAAATACGCACACTTTATTGATTTATTTAATATGCAATTCTTTACTGTTATTTACTAGGTCATTAAATAATATAAAAATAAGCGGTGCTTAATAAACTCTTTTAGACCTGCAATTACAGTTCAATGTAACGCATTCAATCGAAAAAAAAGAAACTTCAAGATAGACAAACGATTGGATTACAACTGTTAAGCCATCTGCGGTAAATATTCAGCGCACTTTGCTCTCTGACCTGATCAGGTTCAGCTTCAACTGCTGACAACGTTTAACAATCGATTTTCACATTTTTAATATGCTGCCGGCTGCCAGCTCATAAATTCATCTCCTCAACTGCCGTGTTTGGCAACGACACTGACACAGGCAAGTTTCTGTTTTTTGCTCGCAGCATATTTTTTAAAATTTCGCTTTTTGTTTTCATTTCGGTCGAGATAAATCAACGCTCAACAAATTAATGCCTCAAATGAAGTGCAACTGCCAAGCGGCCGAAACGTGCCTCATGCCCATGCAACTGGCAGGCAGGTGCACAACTCCACTCCCCCATTACGCCCTCCAGGAGCTGTCACATTGGCGGGGCAACAACAATTATTGGTGCGATTCCTCGCTTCGCTGCCCTTCACGCCCAATATGCAGTAAAAATAAATGAAGGCAGTCATCGTTGCATGTTTCAGTGGATGAGGATGTGGATATAGATGTGGATGAGGATGTGGATGTGGATGTAGATGTGTATATGGATATAGATGCGATTGCTGCGCTGACCGTGCCACTGCCGATATAATTACGTCGATACTGTCAATTTTCGTGCGTGTTCGATGTCGCCATGGCCATGGCCATAGCCATAGCCATCACCATCGGCTTCGCAACCATGCCACATGAATATTGTAAGCTGGCTGCTGTCCAGCTCCCTTCCTGCCTCCTGACAGACCATGTGTACAACTTGCATATTTTTTTGCGAAGCATTTTCACTTTTTCCCAATTATTTGTTTCTTTGCATACTTTTAGGCTGGCGGCTGTGCGAGCCACCATCATCATTATTTTGTAATCCGCACTGTGTGACGCGCCTAAAGCATTGATTACACATACGAATAACACCTGGCACACCTGAACGAGCAGCATGCCGGGCATGCAATGTGAGCCATAATGAGTGTTAATCAGCATCATTAACTGCTAATTAAGTGCGGTTTGGAAATGCATCCGACTGTCAATTGTTTGGTCGGTCGACGGTCGATAGTCGTTTTACTTTATATTTGTTGTCGTCCACAGTGCATTGAGGCGTGAAATTGAAATTGGATGCGTTAGTTCCCACTAATCGCCTCTTATCAGTTAAAATGTTTGCAATTATGCATAATGATGAGCCTGAGAGAATTATCCATATGCCTGCCATCTAGAGTGGAGGACTGGGATACGACTATGTGGAAGTGCTTCAATACATTTTTAAATCTGTATATAAAAACACTATTAATTACGAAATTATCATTCCGAACATCAGACAGACATTTTCTCTCTAAAACTTCTGTAGGGAAGGAACTTTTTCAGAAAGCAAGAAGACACACTAGAAAACGAGTCCCATTCCATAGCGTTAATATTTAATCAAGTATTGTTTGTTATTTCGAATTGATTATATACAGAGCAAGAAAGGAATTAAGGCTGAAAATATTTGAAAAAGGTGGCATGATCTTTAAGGTGAGACCAATGTTTACTAAAAAGGTTTACTTTTCCCAACCACAGCGATTAACTTCTGACATCTTCGTTTTGACTTCATAACTCTTTGCTCGTTTGTCTACAACTAACTTCTTCTAAATCCAAGTCGTTAATATTTGCTTCGCTTCATACGGCCCTGTCTCAGTTAAGTAAAAAAAGCTTCTAGGGCTGGAATGCATCAATTAAATTGCATTTACAAATCAACACACTAAACATAAACAACAGAGATGGCTAAATATTGCTTTAATTTTAAATTAATTTTTCATTTTTGTGTTTTAATGATCTCACTTATTTGAGCACAGCACTTAGCATATTCCAATGACAACTATATTAACCACAGCTAAGTCAACACAGCTGCGGATGTTTTAAAAAATTACCTTAAAATGTTGACACTAAGCTCATCTGCTTAAGTGAAATGCTCAATAGCTTAAAGATTTATAGTTTTTCTTAATTGTAATAATAAACAAAACAAAAAAAAAAAAAAAAAACACATGCTGCCCTACTCCCGTTTATAAAATCAGCGACTCCTATATTCGCAAATCGCAAGCAAAAGTAACCGAAATTGGTAAATAATATGCAACCAATTAAATGTTTTCTTTCGGATGCATATTTTGCTACAATCTTTGATGTCTTTAAGAAATTTTTGTGGCATTCATACTCGCAGTACAAGTAATATAACATTCGATTTTAAAGTAAATATTTTGTAACCATCCTACAAGGTGCTTTCCAAAGTAAAGAGGACTTTTTGAATCTAGCGCCCCCTGGTGGCGCTATCTATATGTCGACTAGTGCGTTAGAATCTGCTATCTTTATCGATTGTCCAGTGAGAATTTCATGACATTTCATCAATTATTTAAGTGTCAGTATGTCAATTAAGAGCTCTTAATAGGCTGCACTTAACGGAATGGTTGATGTTTGAATCCAAATGCACAGTTTTAATTTAATGTAAGTGAATATAAAAACAAGATTATTTGATTCTGGGCAGGACACTGCAGGAGTTTTCTAGTCAAAACTACAATTTTCGCATTCTTCGTGTAATCTCACATCCAATTAGCCATATCTGTATTCAGAGACCAATAATCATATTTATTTTCGCCCATTTGTGGTGTAAGCAAGCAGTTTCCAAGCAGTGCATGGCAAGCCATAAAAATGATTAAGAAACTTAAATGGCTCATAAATTTAAACGAAAAAGTCCTAACACTCATTTATGATTGTTTTCTTAGATGATAATGAGATTGATAAGAAGTGTGTAAAGTTAGAATGATGGCGAAATTAACAATTTTCCGAGAATGCAAACTACTAAGTATTGAAATTTATGCAAATGAATAGATCTGTGTCATTCAAATTTTATGAACGTATCACTTAGAAGAGAAAATTTATATTTAAGAATTACCAATGTTCACAATGATGTACTTGTATTATGTGTTATTAAAATGTATTGTCGTTGCGTGGAAACAAATGTAATTCTATGTAGTTCTCTAATTTATTTAGAATGATCCAGAATGATTTTTATCTTTGGACAATTTAGTTATTTGTGGTCAAGTAGTCCAACAACTAAAACTTCTAAAGGCACGGAAAATAAACACAAGCATATGCGCAAATCACAACTGATTTGTGCGGTCAGATCCATTCTTCTATACATTTTAATTGCCTGTCAAAAATTCCAAGCCCTGGGGCGATAGTACGTGCGTGGCGTAGCAACGGCAATAGCTTCCACATCAATGCAGACGCATTTTAATTCATTTAATTGAGCTGCCAATAGTTGACCAAAATGTAATTAACAATATAAGCCGGCATTGTGGTCGTTTTGTATATGTTTTAATTGCGTAATTAATTTGGCAATTTTCTTTTTTAATTAGTCAGCGATGCTAAATTTGTGTGCGTTTGTTGTCGGCCATGAAAATGGCTCTGGACCCCTAACCCCACCACTATGCCGACAAAGAGTTCAGCTAACCAGCCATCTAGTCACTCAGACGTTTTCCAAATCAAATCGAATCGTTGTTGCCTTTCTCGTTAATTTGGTCTGGTCTGGTCTGGTCTGGTCGATGATCGCCCGGTACTTGTTAGTGAAATTGTCGGGAAGACGGCGACCTGTGGCCATAGCCACAAGTGGTCAGCGGGCCTGTCAGATGTGGGGCGGTTGGAAAAACGAGATGATGACGCCGACAAGAGAAAAGCAAACTTTTGAATCTAACGAGAAAAATTTCCACATCATCAAAGCTCATTCCAGCCCATAAATTTCGTGATAAATGTGAGTGCATGCCGGCTGTGTGGATTGTGCAGACTGCGCGCTCTGGGTCCTTGGGGGCTGTGCAGCAAGTTGGTTGCAACTCGTTTGATTCCGAGCAGTCAGCAACGCTATCTTTCGAGTTCCTTCTACTTAGGACACCATCGTTGTCGATACGTCGTAGCTAACTTGATTTCTCAAGCACAAATATGTATGCATTTGGGTTTCATAAATTTCAATGTGAAGTGCCCCGGCCGGGCAATGTATGGCTTTAAGAGTCAATAAACTTGGCGGGTTGATGGGTCCGGAGAAGTGGTTATGGGTGGTGACTGGTGACTGGTGACTGGTGACTGGTGACTAGCAGCGGTCGCTGATTGAGTGCAGAAAGTTTTTTGTTTTGCAAGTTTTGGTGGTTCATGTGATTTGCAATGATTGGAAAACAATTTTCAAGTGTTCAATTAGAGTGAGACGGCATCGAGAGTGAAGTTTTCGTTTTAACAAGATGGAGAACTCTTTATTGAAATTCCATAGGAAATACGTTTGGCAAATAATTGGCACGCGAAGCTTAAGGACTTAGGCACGATAACGCAGGCGGTAGACGCGACGGCGCACAGTCTTGTAGTGGTAACCGTCCTGTGCGGGCTGCTCGTACTGCTCCTGAACGACTGGGGCCTGATAGACTGGTGCGGGGGCAGAGATCTGAACTGGTGCCGGTTGCTCATAGTGCACTGGAGCGGGGGCAGAGATCTGAACCGGAGCCGGTTGCTCGTACTGCACTGGTGCGGGGGCGGGTGCCTCATAGTGCACTGGAGCAGGGGCTGCAGGTGCAATGTAGCTGCTTACTGGAGCTGGTGCGGGCGCGGATATCTGGATGGGTGCAGGAGCTTGGTAAACTGGTGCGGGAACTTGGTAAACAGGTGCGGGGGCAGGAGCCTCATAGTGCACTGGAGCAGGGGCTGCAGGTGGAATGTAGCTGCTTACTGGAGCTGGAGCTGGAGCTGGCGCGGATATCTGGATGGGTGCAGGAGCTTGGTAAATTGGTGCAGGAGCAGGTGCAGAGATTTGGATGGGAGCTGGCTGTTCGTAGTGCACAGGAGCTGGTGCTGCGGGAGGAACGTAGGCATTCACGGGTGCAGGAGCAGGTGCCTGATAGACCTGAACTGGAGCTGGCTGTTCGTAGTGCACTGGTGCGGGGGCCTGGTAAATGGGAGCGGGAGCCGGAGCCAGAGCTGGCGCCTCATAGTGCACTTGAGCTGGAGCCTGGTAGTTATATCCCCCTCCAAGGTGTGAGACATCGCCGTAAGCGTAGGCCAAGAAGGCAACAGCAACAATAAAGAATTTCTATGTTGAAAAGAATGAATTTTTGAGTTAATCCTTTCATTTATCACTTGTTATGGCCCCTTACCATTTCTCCAGCCAATTGTTATGATTCCACGAGCGTTTGAATCGCTTCTGTCGACTGCTACCGACACCTTTACTATTTATACCATTCAATATGAATCGTATGCTGTCATTATCTGAGCGACTTCGACAAACAAAAAACCTGCCCAAGTAGGCAAATGAGAAGATGATGAGAAAGAAGAAGAAGCAACTAGTGGGGTCGCCAGTGTTTTTGCCATAGAGTCTTCCAAAAACGAAGCACCTAATATTATGGATATATGTTTGTCTTTGTCTTTAGCGTGGGGGTCGTGAAATCAACTCCAATGCATGATGGTCAAGCAGCCGCCTAAGACTTCTTCTACAAATTTATGCGTCAGTGATTTTTTCACTCTTCTTTTTATTTATATTTTATTAGCTAATGTTTTAAGCTCGGGCGTGTTGCGGATTTGCAAGCGACTTGTCTCTAGAATTAATGTGCGAACATCTTGTTTAATTTATGCTGTCAGCTAGCATCATTTTTTTCTCAATTTATTTTGTTCAATCTTTGCAAATGTCATAAAAATGGCAAAACTTAAGCATTTGATTTGAAACGATATGTTTTATTTTAAAACGGAAATGTGACCGACTCTGGCAAATAGTACAATTCGGACATCTTTCGTATTCAATAGAAGCTGGTCCGTGTAGGGATTAACATAGAGCAACGAACTCTTAATGTTCAGGGAAGCATCTAATGTTAATTTTTTCCTACTTTATTCGAATTGTTAGAAATGGTCTTTCAAAATGCTGGATAAATATTTATTTATCCATTAGTAGCATTTTATTGTAGCACAAGTGGAATATTTAATAAAACTCGTTTGGTCAAAGTCAAAAAATTAGCCTTTATCAGTTGATTGATAAAACATTTCATTTATGTGGAACACAAATAAATGCGAGCTAATGTCTTCGACCGCGCACCACGTGTTCTCAAAATATTGAATAAAACAAATATTGTTCTTCCGGTCTTAGAGTGAAACAATTATCTGTAAAATTACAAAAAAAAAACCCGAAACATGTAGTGTAATAAAAAATAAACATAAAGACAAATTAATGATTTAATAATGATTACATTAAAATACCTAGAGTTTTCCTCGCCCTTACCTACCCGGTTCATTTATTTGGTAAACATTTTATTGGGCTGGGAAGCAAAAATTCATAAAATGTGAATAATTTTGATATGATGTATAATAATATTGATCAAATAATAATATCAAATATTGTACACCATTTTAATGGCAATAAATATCCATTTCAGCCCAAAATAATCCTTATCTACTATATTACTAGATTGTTAGTTTTATTTCAAAAAGAAATAACATTTGCTACAAAAACTAAGGCAAATATTATAATATGGCTTGTAAGGTATAGTTTTTCAGTGTGTAACTTTGTAACAAACAGAAGGCAGAATGGAAGTTTGAGATGTTTGTCCGCCTCTCCATTTGAACACTGAGAACACCTTAGTAACTTAGTATATAATGTAGATATATAGCATATAGTATATGCTTGCTGAGCCATGTTCGTCTGTATGAACCCCAAGATCTCGAAAATGATAATAACTAGAGTTGCCACACTTAATTTTCAGATTCTTCCAAGTGCGAGAAAGGACAAGTTTGTGCCTTTTGGTGATTTTTTCCATAACTACAGTTGTTTATTCACATTTGACAATTTCATTCTGTTATACCCAGAAATATAATCCCCATATGGGTAAGTCTGGTGGTGCTGATCATATACTTGTATATACCGATGTGTGTATGGCAGAATAGTTTCGATTGTAAGCAATGTTTCTTACATTTTGATTAAACTCTTAGGTGTTTGTTGTTCGTTTTAAATTATTATTACTGTTTTCATTGGATATCGATAATATAGCATTATCATAATATCTATAGCAAGTAATTATTAAAAATGTTGAAAAATACATTATACTGGTATAAAAATAAATAGATTGGTATGAAAATATAGAAAGGTATAATTAAAACTAATGAATTGTTATTTTTTTTGTTAGGTTTACTATTAAGTCACACTAAATATTAAGTAGGGACAGTGTTGTTATAGAGTTCATTTTTCCATTTCCCTACTCCTTAACAGTTCGATTTACTATAAAAAGGTAAACAGGCAGCAAATAGTTGGCTGTTTCATTGAACAGACCAAACACAGTGCGAACAAGCCAAACAAAATTCATGGCCCAGAGAATAAAACGCGCTGTTAATTTCACGAATTTGTTTTGTGGGCAGCTTCAAAATTTTCTGCATTTTGTTGGACGTGTTTATCTTTCTTACGAGTATATGAAATTATGTAAATGCCAATCGACTGCTTGGTTAGTTGGTCGGTTGTTACTGCCTGAATCCGTTGTCTGTCCGGGCCTCATCACCAATTTATGAGCGCAAATTTGCATGGCTAACAGGTTTTAATGGCTTCCGTTGCGCGTGCTTTGTTTTTAGGCGTTTCTATTGATTGGCCCAGTTTTTGTATGCAAAAATCTGTTCATGCACCACACTATTACAAATATTTCATTTTTGTTTTTAGAGCTAATTAAACATTTTGCATTTTATTGTTGTCGCTGTCATAAGCAAATGGGCTCTAAAATTTGCTTTACATGTCCCATTGAAATCTGTGGCTCTTGTTAGCATTTATGCTAATTCAATGATTGATTTATCTACTGGTGTGTGCGTTTGGTCGATCATTGAATATGTATATGCTTACTTCTGTAAATATGTTTAAAGCGACATAAAACCTTTGTTAATCTCAACTAAGTGTGCAACAGTTTATATTTGGTTTGTTAAGAATATGGTTTTACATTGTAATTTAATGTTTAAGGTGGCACCAGAGCAGCAGTATATATTTAAAAATAATGATAATAAAATAATGAAATGAAAAACCACTTGAAAATGAAATGTAATACAATTATTGAACCAACTTTTGAACAATGATAGCTGGGGGTTTGTCTTAGCCATAAAAAAGGAATAACTTGTATCTTTATGAAGTCACCTTGTAACCATTTTGTGGACTTCATCAATTTCCAATGGGCTTGATTCAAATAACTTAGAACGTCTTTTTCATATCAGTCTAGAAATATACAAAAATAACAGAATGACAAGAAGAATCGATCTAAACATGTTTTTTGAAAAAACGTTAGGCCTTGTTTGTTTTTTGATGCATAATATCAATAAATATGAGTATACATTAAAAACCTGGAAATACATAGTATAAAAATTATTTTAACTTTTGCTTACTACTTAAGTTGAAGCTTTGGTTAAAGCCAATTTATACATTTTTCTTCGTCTGTTTCATCTTGTGAGCCGCGACTAGCGGTTTCTAATTAGCATTTGACCTTGACTTTGAATTTCTATCCATTTGTTATTATTGTTACTCTCTTTAACATATTTAATTTTGTTTTTCATATGCCTATTGTATTTTTTCGCTTTCCTATCTTTGGATTTCGTTATTCGGTTTTAGTTTCATGTTCAGCTGTTAATTGGTCATTAATTATAGTTTATATGTTTTCTTATATGTAATAAAGTATGTAAATTCGTTGTTTGATACAAATTCAATTTACACAATCGAATGTGAGCTAGTTTTTTAGATTAACTGTGCTGATATAATTGGCCTTCCACTTATAGAATTGCCCTCAAAAGTGTATGTGTTTGATAATGCAGGGAAAAGTTAAAGATCTATGCGTTGTCACTTAGTTTCAAAACGATTGAAAATCGCGTTTTAGTGTGTCTCCCCTTATCTAGGCTTGATATTGAATACGCGATGAAAACAAAAATAATTAGACAGTTAGTGGTAGTCCATGCCATAAGCAGTCTTCTTGATTATTATTGCAGTGAAGTAGCTGCTCTCACCAGTTGCAGCAACTCCACTGCCGCCATGCATTGACCCAATTGACCCTCTTAACAACTACGAATACGCTACAGTTTGAAAGTGAAAGTTTCTTATCATAATTTACAAGACAATTAGTCGCCAGTTCCCCAGTTCCCCCCAGTTGTCTTCTCCCACTTGCCCTCCTCATATCGATGGCACTTACAGGCAAAAACTTTGTCCGTACGCCATAAGAGCTACTTAAAGTTTACAGCTGCAGGACGAAGGACTGCACGATGCCAGACAATAATTAGCCAAATTTATTGTAATTAGCCGCAGTCGTTTGCCTCACGCACGGTCGAGTTGCGAGTTGAGGGCGCTGTCGGTTCCCGGCTGATGTGCTCGCACCTTCCAAGGGGGAGTTTCAGTTTCAGACTCACATGTGGCTCTTTCGCTTGCCCGACCAAATGTGTAATTGTTATCATTACTTTATGCACTGTGCTGGTTTTGGGCTTGGTATTGGGGGAGCTGACATGTCGGGGTCGCATGTGTGCGTACAAGCTGGCAAGGCATTTAATTGCACAAAGCTTTGAGCTTTCACTAACAACAGTTGGTCGCAGTTGCTACTGCTTTTTGCAAGATTGTAAATAATTTAGTTAGCTGTAAATGGGCGGGGCTGTTTTGGGCATTAGTCCTGTCACAGGCAAGTTTATATGTAAGCTCGTATACAGGGGAGCCCATTACATAAGAAATTTGTATTCAAATCCATTATGAGGTAAGAGCGAAAGGTGTCTTGCATTAATTTTAAAAATAAACGGACACTGCACATTTGAATTGAAGAAAAATATTATATTTTAATTTATTTTTGTTATCTAATTGCCTATGATTGCATTTAACAAATCTGTTCTTCTTAAATGGCGTTTTGTTTAATTTTTAAAATGCTTGTAAGGCCTCAAGCCGAATCTTCACTGTGCCTACGTCCGTTGGGTAGGTGGAAAGGGCGCTTAATGCAGTCGAGTCACGTCAACGCAGTTGCCGCTAATTTTTTCTACCTTTACTTTTTCTTTTGCTTCCACACTTTTTTTTGGCACGAAGTTTCACTGCAATGCGCTGAATGCTTAACAAATTTGTTCGTTACTTTTTGTTTAAAGTCAAAGTGCATAAATGGTAAAGTCTTTTAAATTGGGTTTTGTTTTTTTAAGTAAAGCCCACCAAAGAGGTTGGAGTTAAAGGCCAGGCGGGCATCGCATCGGCAGGCCACAGACGACACGGAAAAAGTGCAGCATACTCGTATTCCATGGCGTTTGTGCCACACGTTTTCTTTTGTAAACTTTATTATATTTCGTGTTAAAAGTAAATAAACTTATTCCCGTCTGTGTGTGCCCTGCTTGCTGTCTACACTTAAGTGAAATACTAGACACATGTGTGTGAGAGTAGTTGTGGGTGGGTGTAGCTATGTGGCATGCATTGTTTGCCATTTGCGGTGTTCCTGCCACCGTCCTGCAACAACAGCAAAAACATCAACGACTGCCAGCCAGCCAGTCCAAATTGAAATTGGACATTAGACGTACACACAACGACGACAAAATGGCAGCTACTGTGTGCCCCCTGACTGTAGGTGGCGCCACACGGTGACTGCTGACAACTACAACTACAACAACAACAACAACGACAGAAGCAGCAATGCCACCGCTCCTGGGCCACTCATTGTGAATGACAACGCCCCTGGTACGTGATTTCATTTCCGTTTGCCTTTGTGCACTGCTCACGAGCTCGCAACTTCTGTGGCAGTCTTTTTTTTCTTCTTTGCTTCTGTCGAGAACGAGGGGCGTTTTGAATGCCAAAAAGATGGCAAAACTGTGAGTTACTATGAGTTCTACATATGTAACTATTTATGTGCATGCTCGTACATACTTGTATGTACATAAGGACAGTGGACACAAAATATAACGCTAAGTAATGGCAGCAAGAGCAGGTTTATTTATATAATAATAACTGATATATAAATATATAATATTATAATTTCATATGGCAAGGATATATAAAACAAGTAAAAAAGCTAAAGTCGGGTGTCCCGACTTTGAAATACTCTGTACATATGTTTACAATAATTATAGAAAATAAAAAAAATTAAGAAAATAAAAAAAAACATTTGATCGATTTTACCTCTCTCGGTATTCGAACTCACGTAAAGGGTGTATAATTGCACATTTACATAGCAATTGCGTCTGTGTGAGTGTATGTATGCCTATGCGCATCAATTCGTGTCTGTGTAAGCATTTTCGCAGTCAACCAAACAGCAACATCAACAACAGC